AGAACAGCAAAAACCTTTGAGATGTTTTCTTGGGTTCGGGGAGTAGATTATAGAAAGGGAAGGTATTAGCACCCTTTCTATCCATGGTTATCCATGGGCTCTTAGTTACTTGCTTAGATCACTTGCCTTGCATTTTCAATTGTTTGAAATGGTGCTTTGTGTGTGTGGTTTTGAAAATGTTTTGAAAAAAGATGCCTTGTCTAGGCGACCCTTGTAACAATTCTTTACTCGAATGTTTTACAAAAGGTGTTTGTCTTTTTTGAAAAGATGTTTCAAGGTTTTGAAAGTTGTTTTGAAAGTTGTGTTATAGGATTATACAGGCCCCTCAAGCATGCTGCATTTTCTCTTCTTGATCAGTGGGATTTGTCCATAAACTTGTGCCTAAAAGATCTGGCTTGTACCTCTTTGATTTGTGAATTTGACATAAAGTGGACCTTTTCAAAAATGGCAAAAATGATTTTTCTAATTATGGACTAATCTTGCATGTAATGGCTAAATACACAAAATAAGACTTGAAAACAAAGGATATGCATTAAATTATTGAGTGTGAGAAAGATTAGAGGCCTGTAATCTAGCTTGAACCATGCTGAGTTTGAAAATGCAAAGTGTATGAACATGCCTTGGTCAAGAACAAAAGTGGATTTTGCCCAACTTTGCAAATTCGATTCTCCCTAACCACAAGGGTGTTTGAGAAGTTCTTGGACAATTTGGAAAGCTTGGAATGTGTAATACAATCCATCTTTGTAATGAAAATTGAAATTCCAAGTGGAAGCATGTGAAAAGTGGCCATGAAGTTGGGCAAAAATCCTGCCTAAAATAGGTCAAAAATTTTCTAAGTTAAGAATGTTTTGCACCCTTGTTCCAAAAATTATAACTTGAGATACAAGCTTATTTTGAGGAAACTTTGTGAATCAAAGTTGTATATTTTGCAATGGACTACAACTTTCATGTTTTGAGTTTTGTTTGAATCCAAATGTATCTTGATGAAAAAATGGGACAAAGTTAGGAAAAAATAAGGAAGTTTCATAACTTAGAAAAATTCTAAGTTATGAAATTTTCTCATTCTAAACCCTAATTTGTAATTTTGGATTTTTTGATGAACAAGTTTCATAATTTGACATGTCTTGATGAAAAATGAATCTTGGCACTTGATTTTGACCAAAAAGTCAAAGTTTGACTTTTCAGTATACAGTCAAATCTTGATCAGTTGATTGGAAAATTCATCTGTCAATCCTGTGCATTTGAGATCTTTTGAACTTGTTGAAGGTGTCAAGACAATGCCATTGAGTCCTTGAATCCATATGTGAGCTTGGTTTGTCATTGGTTATGTCAAACAGTCAAAAATTGCCTTTGTGCAGTCAAAACCCTAAAAATGACCATTTTGCCCTTTTGGTGATCTGATCAAATTTCTTGTGGAATTGTGATCCAAACTTGATCAAATGGTCCATATGAGTTCATTGTATTGATGTGGGTCAAAAATCATGAGGTTTGACTATCAATTGGCCACAGTTGACTTTTTCCCCAATACAGTTGATTTCTAGGTTAACTGTCCAATTGACTGGGCAAAGAATGGAATCAAGGCTTGAAACTTGGTATGGATACACTTGTGAGTCCAATATGAAGCATGAAAGTCACTTTGGGCATTTTAGGTCAAAACATCTTTGTGCAAACTCAAACCCTAGTTTGGGTCAACAGTGCAAGGAGGAGTCTTGAGCACAGCAAACGCTAACTTGATCTTGAGCTCCAAGGGTCTTGTGGTGAGAAAATATTGATGAAATGGGAGGGCAAATTTTGGGGTACAAAAATCATACTTTTATTTTTATTTCTTATTTTTATTCACATTGAAAATATTATAATAAATATAATTTATTTTTGTACATATTTTATTTTATATTATATATATATATATATATATATATATATATATATATATATATATATATATATATATATATATATATATATATATATATATATATATATATATATATATATATATATATATATATATATATATATATATATATATATATATATATATATATATATATATATATATATATATATACTTTTTATTTTACTAAATACTCTAGAATAAAAATACACAAAATATTACATTTTTACTTTTATTTTCATTTATACTAAAAAATACTTTTTTCTAAGTATATTTTATTTTTACATATATTAATATATTTTATTGCATATAAATAATATAATGTATTTATTTTCTTAAAGAAATTAGGATTTACCCTTAAACAAATAAAATTAATCCTTTTTTATTTATTTTTTTATACTTTTTTACATTAAAAATACTTTTACATACATAGGTAAACAAAAACCTTTTTGCATAATACATATTATTTGATATTTATTTATTTTGTTTATTTAAATATTGTCCATTTAATTATTTATGGAATTAAATTCAATTTGGATGTAATAGTAAACTAGGGTTTATATTTCTTGTCAAATAACCCCCATTCAAAATTGTACCTCCATCCCCATAATTATGTTGTAATAGCTTAGAATTTTAATTCTCGCACTTTACGCTTTCAATTATGCCATGATTAGAGAATTAGGGTTTGTATGCAAAAATCCAAATCAACAAATAGTTTGACCTAATCAAAGACAAAAATGCATGAAAATCAAACACAATGCAAACTTGCACCCCTAGGGTTACAATCCACTTGTTGCCTTCAAAAATGGGCCATGTTATGCATGTTGGGTACTTTGGCAAAACAAAAACAAAACAAAAGATCATAGTCCCTCGATGATGTAATCTTGGTTTCCTAAACAAAAATGATCAAGTCACTCAAAGAAAATTGCCAAAGATACTTGACACAATTGCTATCATGGTCTATACGATGACCCGCGTCTGTCCCGTTTAACATCCTAACACAAGGTTGTTCACCAAATGCAATGGTGAAACAACACTGTCAAAAGGGTTAAAACCATTAGGAAAGATATTTGAGTAAAATATGATAGATAGCTCTTAGTTACTTGATCAAAAGCTTGCAAAAACATCCTTGCTATTTGCAAACACACTTCACAACACAATTTCAAAACATTATCCAAATCAAACTTTCAAACATTGAAATCTTTTCAAAAGACAAAAACACCTTTGTATACATTCAAACAAGAATCATTACAAAGGTTGCCACAACGATGGTCTCTTTTCAAAACCACACACAAAGCATCATTTCAAACAATTGGAAAAGCAAAGCAAGTGATCTAAACAAGTAACTAAGAGCCCATGGATAACCATGAATGAAAATGGTGCTTGCACCTTCCCTTTTCATAATTTACTCCCCGAACCCAAGGGAACATCTCAAAGGTCTTTCCTGTGCTTTTTGACCTTTCTTTAGGATAAAATAAAAAGTCGGTGGCGACTCTTGCTAAACCGAAACATTTGCGAATACAAAACGCAAAACCTCAAGTTAGTTCTCCCACCGTATCGCAGCCGCCTTCATGTCGATGTAGAACGTGTTCACATACTTTCCCTAATGCATGAAGGTGTGAGATGAGTGAATCTTCTTCATTTGTTTCAAATCTAAAGTAACATAAAATCCTTCAACTGCTTTTCTAAATCTGTCCTTTTTTTAAACTCTTTTTAGCAGTTGAACAAAGATAAAGCGCTAAGGATAAAGCTGGAAAAAAATGTTGTTGTCTCCGCGAAAGAAGTCATACAAGGTGAAGAAACCACCATTTCCAAATCTACTACAAAGGTATTTTACTTCGAATCACAAAATAATATACATCCCTTTTCAAATTTTACTGATACCTTTGCCTTTTAGGTAAGTAAGAAACCTCCTCCCACTCCGAATAAATGCAAGTCAACTTAAACCTAAACCGTTTAGATCGAATCAGGGTCTGAGGATGCGTCTCCAGATTGCTCGAGACCTGATCCCAAGAAGAAGAATCCAAAATTTCCACTGCTACCAGTCCAACGAAAGTCACCACTAAACCTCCACCATCGAAATGAGTTACACATAGGGCGATAACCGTTGAAACTCCAACACCAAATCTTGCTGCTGATATTGTCGAGAGCGATAATTATAGTCCTCGAACTACTTGACCTAAGGTATTTCAACTGATTTCTTTCTCTTTGTTTCACTTTTAATCTTTTGATTTATGCTAACTTGTTTCTTTCACAGAATGAGCAGACTGGTACCGCTACTTCAAGCATCAAGTACACAGCTGGGAGCGTTGACCCTCGTTTATTTATCTTATTTCGAATAAAGGCTCCAACAAAGGATCAAATAGTGAAATCAATACATTTTTCGAAGTTCAGTAACCAATTCCTCCTCCTCATTCAGCCCTTCCATCTGATTCATCAGACACTAAAATTGAAAGTGATGAAGACTTGCCTAAGGTCATGGATATACCATACATTGAGGAACAAGATCTGGAACAACCAGAGAATTCTTCATCTCTTATCCCTAAAAAAACAAAGGCGAAATAATTGATGAAGACGTGCACATGACAACTGCCAACGAGGAACCTCAGAGCGAATAGGAACCTACTCATGGTGAAGAGCAACATAATGAAGAAGGGCCTCGAACTAAAAAGACACCAACAGGGGGTGCATGAGATGTTAACCAACCCTTTGGTTCAGTTAAAGATTTAAGGACTTCTCCAAATGCTACTCCTACTGCTCTCTCGCAAGAAGAAGTAGAGGATTTTAATGCAACTAACCATGTTGGCTACCTTAAATCCATGATGAGTGCAAGGGCAAGTTCGTATGAAAAAGGTGAAACCTCTTCGACGGCCTCTGGTGGCCGTTTTTCCAACCAAACTGATGACCGGCTTCTTCGCAAAATTGGGGATAAAACCTTTGATGTCGATCTAATTCAAGTGCTAGAAAGCGATATCAATGCACGCCACGACATTAAAGAACTCTTGAAAAAAGTTGACATACTAGGCGTTTCACAAGAAGTTGCAGATGTCATAGTTGATCTTGGGTTTCTCCTTGACAACTTTTTGACAGATTATCTTTAAAAAGCATGAAGTTTTCAACAAGATTACCAACAAAACGGGGATCCAAACAGCTGAATAGATTGCAGCTACTGAATCAACTACTAAGGTCTAAACTTTGGAAAAAAGTTTCTCCAAATATGACGAAGAGTTTCAAATCTTGTGCGGATAACATTTTAGCTTGGGAGAAACAAATCATAGAACTGTGGGAGGACATTCAAAAAGCAAGGATAGTCAGGACAAGATCCATAAGCTCGATTGCACATAGCTTGATAACAAAATCAAGGCAAGCATCCAACATATCAAAAAGGCCCAACAATTGAAGACCGAGATTGAGGATTTGAAGAAAGCCCAATCTGCGATCGATTGTCATTCGAAGTATAGGTGCATGAAGACCTTTTCCCCCATCGAGTTTAAACTTTGTTGAATTATATTGTATTTTATCCCCATCGAGTTTAAACTTTGTTGAATTATATTATATTTTATCAGTTCGAATATTTGAATATTCTTATTATCATGTAATATGTGCCAACCATTTTGACATTTAACTCTTACCATTTTGGCTCTTCAATTTAATTAAAATTCTACTCCATTGATATTTTGACTTCTTGTAGTATAAGTTTATATTTTCTCAAATATTTACCATTTATTTTTAGAAGTCTTTGATCTTTTGCGAGTTTTTCAGTTTCATAAGCATTGTTTAAAAACTCTTGAATAACTTGGAACAAACCTTTCCAATTTGAAAACCATTTACCCAAAGTCTTATTCTTTCTATCCATAGCTATGATGACTTTCGAAACTAAATCATCGATCGAGAAGATATTGATCTTGACCTTTTTATTATATGCTTTCTCGACTCTTTTCTTCAGCCTTCTTATCCACATCCTACAAGACAAAATTTGGTAATCTCCCATCATCATCATCATCATCATCATCATAATCATCATCATCATCTTCAGTATGTCATTGCTCAATAACAACCGTTATTTCCCATAGCTCATATCTCCAATGGCAGAAAACAAAGACATTGAAACCGTTATTAGGAGAGTCACCTATGTAACCAACCACCTCGATTCCACTCCAAAATCACCACAACCTCAACTCATTTCCTTGTGCCACACTTCAAGTTCCACGAATAATGATAGCTTCCAATGAGTTCATGGAAATTTTCCCTCGAACGAAGTTGTTTGGAAGGTTGCTTCTGATGATGTTGGAAATGATTTCACTGACATTGTGTACGAGAAATCCGTTGGTGAAGGAATAGCAAAGGTTAGTTAGCACTTTCTCAAATGTTGTTCTTTTTTATTCACTTTTTGTTACTAAATGTTGAATTTAGTTACTCTAAGTATTACCAAGGCGTGTTTGGTATCTATTAGAATAATCACTTGTTAGATTGTTTGAAAGAGTTTATAAAAACTACTTATGAAATGTCCATAAACTATTTAGAAATAATTAGGCAATTGTATAATTTAGGGTTTACCCTACTTTTTTTTCTATTCAATTTTGACAATGTTGGGTTTAATGTGTGGTTTTAAATAGTGGTTGCGGGTGTTGGGATTGCAATAATTGCAGATGTTACAATGTGCATTGAGGTCGTTGCAGTGAGAATTTTTGATTGAGAAAAGTTTGAAATACACTGCTAAAAACACTTAATGTTAAGATTTTTTAAAACTAAATTGAGTTTTGAGTTTTGACAAAAATACTTGAAGAAACTTGGACGGAGTTGTCCATGCGGTTCCTAATGTAGAAAGATGCATGATTTCAAATCATACTGCAATTGCAGTCCGATGTGGTTAGCAATATTGCAGCTCCAATTGCGATTGCGGACTGCAATTTAAAACCATGGTTTAATGTTGCAGATTAGTATTAATAGGCCAGAGAGAAGGAATGCCTTTCGACCTCACACGGTTAAAGAGCTTATTCGCGCTTTGACCTCACACAGTTAAAGAGCTTATTCGCGCTTTCAATGATGCTAGAGATGATCCTTCTGTTGGTGTCATCATTCTCACTAGAAAGGTATGTATATACATACATGTTTGGCTACATACGTTCGATTGCATATTTGTCATGGTTCAATCGGTTCATGTCTGGTTCAATTTTCAAATTACTGCTATTAACATATATTATTGATTTTCCCTTGTAATTTGTCACTGAGAAACCACTGATCTATAACATAGAATTGAATGATTTTAATGACGAATTGGTGATGTAGGGAACATGTGCATTTTGTAGTGGTGGTGACCAAGTGTTGAGGAATGAAGATGGTTATTATGACCATGAAAATATCGGTCGCCTTAATGTGTTAGAATTTCAGGTATATATCAATTCATTCCCAATGTTTCTTTTTGGGTTAATCGAAGTGGTCTTTACTCGAGTTATCCCTTTACGGGCTTTTTGCAGTATTCTTTTCAATGGACTAATATTGTTCGAGTAAGTCATCATTTTCGTCCTTCAAATTATAAGTGTCGATTAATTAAGTCTTTCAGATTTATGAAATGGAAGTTTATTCCGTAAACATTAGTCAATTTAGTCTCTAACTGCAATATCGCAATCCGCTTTTCCATGATTTGTAATAAGAAAATTTTCAATTCAAGTTGTTGAAAAAAAAACAATAGTCACTTTGTTATTTTATTTTTGAACATCATTCTTTTCCTCTATTACAGGTGCAGATTCGCCTCCTTCCGAAACCTGTGATTGCAATGGTACTCTCCTTACTTCTTTGATACTCTTGGCATATTCAGATTTTTTGTTAACATTAAAATAGTTTGCAGGATATGCGGTTGGAGGAGGACATGTATTGCATATGGTTTATGATCTAACCATTGCAGCCGATAACGCTGTCTTCGGCCAAACGGGTCCTAAGGTGCATCAATCATTTAAGATTTCTACTAATCAACACACCTTTCCTTTATAACATCTTGTCTTTGTATCTATAAAGGTTGGGAGTTTCGATGCAGGTTACGGAAGTTCTATCATGTCGCATTTGGTGAGGACTAAATTCATAGTACTATTTTGTTTGCTTAAACATTTCAATGTTGTCGAACCAGAAGATAGAAATTATGATTCTTAATATAGATAGGTCCGGAAAAAGCGCGTGAAATGTGGTTTTTCGCAAGGTTTCATTCTGCTGTTGAAGCAGAGAAAATGGGCCTTATCAACACTATTGTACCAGTAAGCTCTTGGAATTCTCAGCAATGTAATTGCAAGTTGTAACACTAACATGAAACTCATATTTATGGTGTAGGGAGATGATTTAGAGAAAGAAATAATCAAATGGTGTAGGGAGATACTCAGAAACAGCCAAACTACTTTTGGGTTCTCAAGTCAACTATTAATGTCGTGAACGACGGGTATGTTGGACTTCAGGTACATCACTATTCATGATTTTTTTAAATTTTAAATATTGGTATCTTGGGATTGCAACCGACTAATTAAATATTTGACTATAGAAAATGGGTGGAAATTTATCACTGATATTTTATGGAACGTAGACGCCCAAATTTTTCAAAGTTTAATTGAAAACCATAAATTCTAATGTATTTATAAATTATATAATGTTAATTATTGTTATCAATTTGAGGTATGGTCTTCTAGTTTGACCAATGTTTTTTTAGCAAAAATAAATTGATTTGATTCATGTTGGCTCTTATAATGTTATATTCTTATTAATTTTCAAGATTAACTTTTCTCATGCATCGATGACTCACATCATCTTGTCTTTGATCAATACTTTGTAATTCTTTTTAACCAACTGCCTTATGTTAAGAAAGTTGCTCTTCATATCTGGCATGTACATTACGTTGGAAATTAATGAATTTTTGCCATCTTTCCTCATAATCAAAACATCTCTAATACCTTCAGCTGCTAGAGTATTATCATTTGAAAATTTTACCATGTTCTTCATTTAGGGTTTTAGGTTGACAAACCAATCTTTCTTTTCAGACATGTGTAATGATCATCTTGAATCCAAGTACCATTGGTCCTTGAATTTCTCTTCATCTCTTGTTGTGACCATCAACATCATCTCTTCTTCTTCTTCATATTTTGCGAACTTCGCATCACTTTCTTGATTCTTTCTCTTTTATGAACAATCGCTATAATAGTAACCATACTTCTGACAATTGTAACACTGAATGCGACTCTTGTCAGGTTTTCGACCACCACCTTATCCTCTACCTCCAACACCACCTCTTTGGTTTCCTTGGTATGGGGGTCTTCTCTGATTTGACATAATTTCTTCCTGATGGTTTCCTCTACCACTCAAATTATTATAGCCACCTCTACCTTTGTCGAACCACTTTCCTTTGCCTTTACTTTCTTTTGTTGAATGTGTCTGCAAAGCCACTCACTCTTCAACTTTCCTGCATCCCTATTGTAAGTACGAAGTGCGCCTAAGAGGGGGGTGAATTAGGTATTTTAAATTTTTTTCTTGTTTTAGTGATGATGGATATTATTTTTCTCGTTTATGGTGAGTTTATGAAAGAGTAAAGTACAGAAAAATAAAGAGACACAAGCGATATATCATGGTCCCCCTCACAGTCCGAGAGTACTCCAATCCCCTTTCAATATGAAAGAGATTTCCTTATAGTGGCAAACTTAAACAAGAACTACCCAAAACCAAGAACAATCCTCTTGGACCAAGAACAACCCTCTTGGATTTTCACTATGTCAGCAATGAGAACAATCCTCTCAAAGTGACTTTACTTGTATCCAACAATCCTGGAAAAACAAGATTACAAAACCACTTGAACTTATTTTCAACAATCCTGAAAAATAAGCAAGTATATAGCAATATTTGATTTGAGTGAGTTTGTGTAGCAATGATCACTTTGAGTGATTTTATCAATGAATTGATCTTCTCTTTCAATAACAATAGTATACAATGACTCAAGATATATAATGCTCAAAGTTTTCTGTTTGACAAAATGTGAAAGTGTGCAGAAAACTTGTGTATGAAGGTGTATAAAAGCTTGAGTTTGATTTTTGAAAATTTAGAAAATATGATTGGAAGAGGTACTTAAAATGATTTTGAAAATGAGTATTTATATGTTCATAGCACCCTTTTGAAACAGCATGTAATTTTGCAAATGAAGTCAGTAGCAAAAATTAATTGAGAGCAATCGATTGCATAAACATACAAATCGATTGCACTTAGAAACAATAGCTAATACTTTGAAAAAGTGAAGCATGCAATCGATTGCACCAATATGCAAATCAATTGCACCCAAGTAAAAATTGATTTTTTGCTTTAGAAAAATTGAGAAAAAGTTTGGACAAGATAAAATATTTCTTTTGACCATTGAGCATTTATGTCTTAAGTTCAAAGTAAGTACTGTCATTATACCTTGAAATTTACTAAGTGCTTGAACCAAAGACTATATCTAAAGATGCTTTTAATTTGATCAATAATTTTTGCCTTCTTGTCAAAATGGTTTGTCTTCATCAAAACAAAAGTGCATTTGAGAAGCTTGATTTTACATTCTCCCCTTTTTTTATGATGACAAACGATCTTGCTTGATGCATTGTAATTTCCGGAAAGAGAACTTCTCCCCCTAAGATGCATAACTCCCCCTTTGTATGAGAAGGTTGGAATCCTTTGAATTTGTTCATCTTGGTTGAAGAGTGCCTTAGAAATTCAAGATAGGAAATATACAAGCATAAAGTTCCACATCCTTCTCCCCCTTTGACATTATCAAAAAGAAGAGAAAGATGCAATAAAAATGGATAATAATAAAACAACATTGAAAAAAATTAATCAACCATGCATCAAAAATAGTTATAGACATATGTAACGTGGTCGGAGAACTGACTGGGTTGTTTTGTGTTTGAACGCAAATGTTGCGGTTTAACAAGAGTCGCCACCGGCTTTTCTTTTATCTAAAAGGAAAGGCTGAAAAGAATAGGAAATGCCTTTGAGATGTTTTCTTGAGTTAGTGGGGTAGATTATGAAAAGGGGAGGTATTAACACCCTTTTCATCTGTAGTTATCTACAGGATTTTGTTTGAAAATGTGATTTGTGTGGTTTTTGAAAGTATTTTGAAAAGGCGCCTTCATTTAGGCAAACTTTGTAATAATTCTCGTTCGTAAGAATGTATACAAAGTGTTGATCTTTTGAAAAAGTTTCAAGTTTGAAAGATGTTTTGAAAGTGTTGGTGTTTATTTTGAAAATAGAAAGGATGTTTTGGTTTGAAAATGAGCAAGCAACTAGGAATATTCTACATACTCAAAAGTCTTTCTTATTTATTTACTCTTTCCTTTGACATTGTTATTTTACCATTGATTGGTAAGTAACCTTGTCATTGGATGTAAAGGGACGGGTGCAGGTCATCGTATAGCCATGATTAGCAATGTTGTAAGATATCTTAGCATTTTATTTAAGAGACTAATATCATTTTGAAAGGCAACTTTGATAGCGTCATCGAGGGACTATGATCTTGTATTTTTTTATTGCTTTTGCTAAGATACCTTACATGCATAACATAGCCATTTTATAAGGCAACAAAGTGGATTTACCCTAAGGGTGTAAGTGTGCAAGTGTATTGATTTACATGCATTGTTTTGTCTTTGAATTAGGGTTTGCTAATTTGTTGATTTTAATCTTTCCATACAAGCCCTAATTTACTACCATTTATATAAAATGGTAAATTACAGAAAATAAAAATACTAAGCTATTACATCATTAGGGAAGGGGGTATACAAATTTACAAATGGGCATTTGCAAGAAAATTAAACCTAATTAACTATTACAACCATATTGAATAATATACAAGATTTGAATAAAAATAAAAATGCAAGAATGTAAATGGAAAAAGAAATGATTTTGTTTGTTTTTTATGAAAGGGTTTAGTTTTGACCTAATTAAAGAAAATGGTTAGGGAAAATTTAAATAAAATTAACTTAAACTAACTAAGAAAATGAATTAACTTAAAAAGGATTTTTAGGGTTTTTTAAGAAAAAGGTTTTAAATTAATAAAAATAAAATGAGAAAATTAATTAATTAAGAGAAACCTAAATCCTAAGTTAATTTTGATTAGGAAAATAAAATAATAATTAAATCTAAGTCTAAATATTAATTTATTAAGAAAAAAAAAATTTATTTATTAAAAGAAAAATGTTTTTTTGTTCTTTTTGTCTTTATAAAGAAAGTAAAATAAATAAGTGTAAACAATAAATAAAAATATTTTTGTATTTTTTTCATTAATAAAAATAATAATAATAATAGTAATAAAAATAATAAAATAAAACTAAAAATAAAATAAAATAAGAAAGGAAATAAATAAAATGAAATAAATAAAATAAAGTTGGGCCAGGTGTGCAAAAGGAAGGCAGGGGGTTAGAAGCAGCAAAAAAGGAAAAGGCCCAAAGTTAAAGGGGCCCAGGCGCTGCAAACAAAAAGAAAAGGAAAATGTGAGAAAAATAAGCAAAAGGCAGTGCGCTGGGTGTTGAACCCACACCCTCTTGGTTACCAGCGTGCTGCCTTACCACTGGGGTGACTATACATCCGTTTACTTATATCAAACCATAAATATATATTACAAATCAAGTCCATAGCTTGAACTTCATCTTCAACCTCACGTCTAGCTAGACAACCTGCAACTTATTCATTTATCAACAAAAATGGAAAGTACAAACATGAAATTTGTGGCATTTCTTCCCACGAATCCAACCATATAAATAACTAAAGCTATAAATCTAAGATGAGGGAGAATTTTTCTGGCCCTAATTTAAAACCTAAAAATTTCAGAAACTTCAACTCCAAAATTCTCTAAGCTCATGTCATATAAATGCAAACTATGGATATGTACAACTTCGTGGCAATGAGGTCTACATTTTATCTTTGAAAATGAAAGCTTAACAATGCCTATATGAGGAGTTCAAAAATCAGAAAACTCACCTTGCAAGAGGGTATCGTGTTTTGAGTTGGAGCATCTTTCAATGAGTTTTAGTGATTGGGTTAGCTTCCTCAAGTTCCCAAGAAGCTAATGTGATGCTTGGCTTGTGCTGAAAGTGGCTGAGGAGTTCTGGAGAAGTCAAGTTGTAGACCCCTGTTTTTTAAAATGGAACTTGATGATGGAGGTGTTATAGTTGAACAAAAGGACTTTGGATGGTTTGTGTTGTACCCCAAATTTTGACCTAAGATATCGTCTCCTACCTGCATCATTACATTACAAGTATTTTGATCCATCGATTTTAAAATTCATAACTTTTTCTGGCCAAGAGCTATTTATGCTGAACATTAAATCATTTAATTGATTCGTGCTAAAATGATGTTTATTAATTATTTATTATCTAAAATTTAAATAATTGAAATTCATTTTCGATTGTTATGTAGTTTAAAGATGTATAGATAATAAAATGAATATCAGAGAAGAGGCGCATTAATTGTGCGGACAGTATTTATTTATTACTCATTATCTTAAATTTAAATAATTGAGATTTATTCTCAGTTATTACGTAATTTAAAGGTTTATGAATAATATAATAAATATTCGAAAAGCTCATTGGTCAATAACGATTGT